GGCTTTCTCCATTCACCAGTGGTTCCATGGGTGAAACATCGCCCTCTAGGTTATTTGAGTTCTGCTCTCCTGACTGGAGGCCAAGTAACGAACGCACTCGGTTTGATCGGACATCTAGAATTGTGTCGGTGTAGCCAATCTCTTGTAAATATCTGAAATTATTGTTATATACATAGTAGGAGTGACAGTATGCCTCAATGGTTATTATACCTGGCAATTAACGAACAAATACTGTAACCTACTCATTCGCAATAACGTCCGTGTCTGCACGCTTTATCCAATTTTGAGGTCAAATGCAATAATGAAACACATAAACAATACTGTTAATATTTTATTTGCATGACTTGTAATAAGCAGGATAATCAATTTAAAAACTTGCAAATATGTACATACTAGAATTGGCTATTATTTGTGTCTTTGGGAGATCTTGACATTTAAATGATCAAATCAATGTTTCAGAATTCTTTATTATATTTTATTTTGATGTGTGTCTGCATCAGGAAAATATCATAGGATTGATGTTTTGTTCTACCTGACGTGTTATACTAAATACGTCTACAACTACCTAGGAAAAAGCTTGATAGCCTAGTGGTTACAACACCAGGTTAGATTTTTGGAAGTTGTGGGTTCTATTCCTACCCGAATCACTTGCACATTTTTTCACAAGTATGGGAATGTACTGAGTATTCAGTATGATGATATGTCAGGTAGGGCAAAACATCATTCCCTTTTTTATATTTTAATCACAAATTATATCTTATTTATAATATTTGTTTAATCTTTTAATTCTTTACTAGTATAATTTAGCCATGCTATGCAAGTGTTATTCTCATGTATTAATAATTGTTTTTCCACAGTGAGCGTCACATCAGATGTGCTTCGCTAATTGTATGACCAATCATGATATGGGCAGATGGATGAAGTGAAGATTATCTCAAACAAAAACAACCTGCTATCATTACACTGATGAATTGCTTCAGTGAAGTCACATGACTCCAAGAAAGTGGGTGACCACTTGAAAGGTCAAAATAGGTGTGAAATCATATGTCATGAGCGAAATATATTTAAATTATCTTTTAGGTCCATCAGCAAATGTTCAGCCTTCTTCTCCATGACATATTCTTAATATTGCCTGTCTCTTATACACATCTAGATGTGTATAAGAGACAGGTGTTCAGCAGACTTTTAGACTGATGACCCAAGAAATTCAGACACCAACCAACTGACCCCCTTATCCACAGATGCCTACTTCGGAGAGCTAGCCCTAGTGCATATTTCGGGACTGGGGTTTCAAATTTAGGTTAAAGCCCCATTCCGGGCAAAAGTTTCAACAACAAAAAATTTTCAGAAAAAATGCAATATATACTCTAATTATTTGAAAATCAGGTCATTTATTGGGATAAATTTTAATTTTACGGTAGAGACTATATTTCTCATTAGGAGAAAACAGTACCTTTTTCCCAATGACTTTGTCATTAGGTAAATTCAAAGGTTGTAGATCGCATCCACTGGCATGCTCTCGTCACCTACTTTTGTGTGTACTTTATAAAGTTAAAGTTGAGCATCCGACTACAATAGGTAGGGTAATTGTTTTGCGAAACGGCCACAATTCTTTATTTTTTATCTCACCCACTAATGCCTTGAAATCTCATAAGATATCTTAATTCATCCTACAATTAATCATATACATTAATTAAAAATTTGATTTACTCAACTGTTCTTGGTGATCCACTAATGGGTTGTGACCTACTGTATAGTCTGCGGAGCATTGGTGCATATCTGGTTCTTAATTTGTTTGAAGGACCAAAATATTTTTAAAGTTGATCTCAAGGGCCAAAGATAAATTCCACCAAGTTGAAAGCAATCTTTAAAATTACCTGGGTGACAAATTTTGGGGGATGTGTCATCAGTTTAAGAGATGTTAGTCAGCTTTTGGGGGTGGGGGATGCTTTACCAATATTATTCATCCCAATTATAAGCCTAGTGTAGGTCTAGTTTCTAGACACATTCATTAACAAATAATGTTAACATTAATTTTACCTGTAACGTTTGGTAAGTATTTTCTATATTGTATGCGATGTCGTTTGTATTTTAATGAGCACTGTTCTTAGTACAAGATTTTAATAACCATGTAAAATTAGGTACAAACACTATTGATGAAACTCAATCAACAGCACATAAAATCAGAGCACATAAAATCGGAGTATATATTCCCCATTTATTGCCTAGATCTAAACTGTTTTTCTGTAAAGTTTTTAGTGTACACATGACCCAGCATTGCATTTTTTTTTTAAAATACAAGTAACATAACATTAATTTTTCTGTAAGGTTTGGTAAATATTTTCTGCATTGTATGCAACATCATTTGTATTTTTACGAGCTTTTAACAACTAGGCAAAATTAAGTACAAACACTATAACTACTGACAAAACACAATAAACAGCAAAACAGACTGACAAAACTTCTGTAAGGTTTTAGTAAATATTTTCTGCATTGTATGCAACATCATTTGTATTTTTATGATCTTTTAACAACTAGGCAAAATTA